AATATCTGATCACAAAATGATAACAGTATTTATACAAAATACGCCGAGAATCAAACCAAAAATGCATAAAATAACTAGATATAGCATAGATTTAGAAGGACTAGAAAAGACAATAGCTTGTAAGTTAGACTCTAAAATAGTGGACGATTTAGAGGATTTAATAAAAATTATACAGGATGCAGCAAAAGAAAATAATATCAAAGAAACAATAAGAGCCAGAGAAGATACGTGGATAACAGAAGAAATTATTAACTTAATGAAATACAGAAACAAATTTTACAATAATTTAAAGAAATGCAATCTAAATGAAGTAAGCAAATATGATGCCATAAAAATAAAATATAATAACATAAAAAAGATATAAAAAATATGATCTACTAAACAAAAAGACGATCTATAGACTATTCAGAAGAAACAAAAAAATGTGCCAGTGACTCTCGAAAAATATGGAAACTAATAAATAAAACATTAGGAGGAGGAAAAAATAAAAATGAATATAAAGAAAATATTGAAAAAATATAACATAAAGATAAAAATATATTTCTTACAGAAAAGGAAGATATTGCGGAGTATCTCAACAAACATTTTGCTGAGATAGGTATGAAACTACAAAGAAAATGGATCATAAACCATCAATACACAGCACTAAAAACAAAATCCAAATTTTTATTGACAGATGCGAAAGAAATAAAAAAAATTGTTGAAAATCTAAAAAATAACGCTGCACCTGGGGAAGACAAGATAACAGTAAGAATCACTGAAAAAATAATAAATCTAATAGCTCCACTACTTGCTGTTTTAATAAATAGATACATAGAATGTGGTGTATTTCCATCGTGCCTTAAAATGGCTACAATAAAACCAATTTTTAAAACAGGAAACAAAACAGATCCAAATAACTACAGACCCATAACAATAACAAACACATTCTCCAAGATATATGAAAAAGTAATAAAAGAAAGATTACTTAATTTTCTCATTCAAAAAATTGACAAAAATCAATATGTTTTTTTAAAGTCATCAAATACTCAAGGTGCATTGTTGGATTTAACTAATACCATAAGTGAGAACCTTGAAGAAAATAAGCATACAGTAGCGATATTCATAGACTTAGAAAAAGCATTTGATACGGTGGATCATAATATAATATATTAATTATGAAACTAATAGAGCTGGGATTAGAAGGTTTGTCACTTAGCATTATCAAAGATTTCCTATCAGAAAGACAAGTAAGGACCATGGTTGATAACGTGGCAAGTGACAGGCGCAAAGTAAACTGTGGAGTCCCACAAGGACTCAGTTCTAGGACCTTTATTGTATCTCATCTATACAAGATTTAAGAGGCAAAATTGATGGGAAAATACATCCTATACGCCGACGATACTGCTATAGTCTATGCAGGCAAAGGTGAAAAAATTTCAGAACAAATTATTAACAAAGACATGAAATTATATTCTGAATGGCTAATTGAAAACAAATTAACGATCAACATTGGAAAAACTAAGTATACACATCTTAAACAAAAAAAAATATAAGGAAATTACTAAAATAAGCATTAAAATAAATAATACAGAAATAGAAGAAGTGGAATATATAAAATACTTGGGCCTTATAATACACGAAAAGCTAACATGGACAAACCATATAAATGAAATTAAAAAGAAGATAACGGCATTAACAGGAGCTTTAAAAAGAATCCATTCTTTCGGGGAAAAAATAAGATATTGATTTTAAAAGCACATATGATACCCATAATTTTATATGGAATAAATACTTGGAGTCAAACAACTAAAGCTAACTTGAATTATATACAAAGAATAATGAACAAAGCCATAAAAATATCATATAATCCTCCACACTTAACACCCACCAAATATTTACAAACAGAAACGAATATTATTCATTCACTAAACAACATAATAAAAATAGAGAAATGCAAATTAATACACAAAATGGAATATAACCGAATTAAAACAAGTACAACAATAGACACAAATCAAGATATACATGAACGCTACACTAGACAACACAGCAATTTTCACATTGAACACAATAGAAAGAAGAATTTGAGAGAAAATGTCATATTGAGCGCTATTAAAATATATAATGAATTGCCAAACGGTATTAAGATGGCCAATGATGACGACAAATTTAAAAGAAAAATAAAGAATTATTATAAGGAAATTGAAGATTGAATAGATATTTTAATTATAATAAATATTATATTATAGTATAATGAAATAGACAAATGATATGTATATATAAAATAAGAAAATTGTTTCATAATCTCTCATACCAGATACCCCTGTCTGACTGAGATATGAAAATAATATATAAATAAATAAATAAAATAAATAAATAAAAAAAAAAGTTGAAAAATGTGATATTTAAATTAATAAATTAAACTGAACAAAGTTGAAATTTTAAATTATTTACATTTATTTGTGTATTGTTTTTAACAATTCATCGATTTTTATTGATTATTAGTTATTTTGATTCTTCGAATATTTAATTACGGTACGGAAAGTTACTTTAACGCAGTTGCGAGGCTAAAAAATATTTTGTGGACACTGAAAGAGCACACTTCGAAGAATATAATTGCGTATTACTTGTGTCAAAATATTAATGTGCACCGCCTCTGCAGATGATTTCCCGAACGTCTTCCATAAAAAGGCGTTCGGCGGCACGTCTATATTAGGGTTTATACAAAAACCGACATTTTAGAAAACCGGTTTTCAAATTTTAATTTTACTAAAAAACCGGTTTTAACCGGTTTTCGAATTTTATATAGAAAATAAATTTTTACTCGAATTTTCTGTAATTTATCCGCAAATTTAGTGTAATTTAGAGCAGTATTTGTCTGAATTTATTTATTGTTCAATTTTATAGATAGTAAACAAAATTATTTTAATTTTAATTAGTAGAACTAAAAAATAATAGTTTATCTTGATTAAATAATATGAAAATAATTAATTGTTATTCATGCATCATTTTCACATATAAGATTGAAAATATATTTATGATAGTGAAAGGAAAGTTTTCGAATAAATAAAAATAATACATTTTTAAATAAAAAAATGCCTTAAATTAAGAAAAATTAAAAAATATTAGATACATGTTCATACATAATTGTTATTATTAATTTTAGTTTTAAAAACAATTAAGATAAACTCGGGTATTCATACTTGCGACCAAATTATGCTTAATTGTTTTTAAAGCATGATATAATAATTATAAGTTTTTTGTTCTTTAATTTGTGGCTTCTACGGTTTAAAACTTTTTTTCAAGTTTGAGTAAAGGAAGTTACTTCTTCAAGAAGAAGTCACCCTGATTTAAATTAATATATACACTGGTATAAAAATCTAAATTAATATATACAAAACCTTTCTGGGAACCATTGCAGACTGATAAGATATCAAATGATAATTTAACCGATATGATTTCAAGAATCAAAACGCTTTCATCTATCTTTTATATTTGGCTATATTTGTCATTTTCCATTTATACAGTGAAAACCGACTTTTTTCACTTAAAAACCGGTTTTCGAATTCCATAATTTTTGCCAAAAAACCGGTTTTTAAAACCGGTTTTTGAAAACCGACAAACCCTAGTCTATATACTTGGCACAGCGATGGTGGAAATTGGCAAAACTGATATGACCTGATTTTTTGACGATTTTTTTGCTGTCGATTGGTGCAAACTAAAATTTTTTTGCTCTTTCCGTTCTCGAAATAAATGGGTGGGGCCAAATTCGGTTCGATATATATAGTCAGCACCAACCCCTTTAAAAATGCAAAAAAATTAAAATTTCCTTTTACTATCGTTATCAGTGATTTTTTTGCTGTCGAATGGTGCAATTAATTTTTAGAAAAGTTTTGCCCATCATAGATTTTCACGCATAGGAAAATTCCCAAACTTGCCAATTTAAAAAAAATGACAATTTTGAAAATGCCTAATTTTTTTGCTCGCTTACTTAAATATAAAACAAAAAAAATTTCAAAAAATTTATTTTTTCACCCTTTTTCAGAGAAGTTGCCAATTTTTTTGGGTGTCCACAGGTCATTTTTTCTAAAGTTTAAAAATTGTTTCGGAATCTGTGATTTTTTTGCTCTGCGATACAAAAAAGAAACATTCAAAAAAATAAATTGAATAAATAACGTTTGCTCAAAAACGCCTGAACCGATTTCAGAAATTTAAAAGCTATTTGATATTTCTCGATGAGGATTATCGTTTGTCAGTTTTGCACGACGAACTGCTAAGCCTTTTTTGTAATTTGCAAAAAAGTGTTAAACTTTTTGTCCACATTTTAGCCCACACTAAATCAATCACCTCATCACTGAATCAATTTTACAAAATCAAAAAAGGTTCGAAGGATATCAGTTGAGAACAGTTACTTTTAAGTAAAAATCTACCGAGCCGTTTTCTTATAATTCGTTGTTGAAAAAAATATTGAGAAAATGAGTAGTTTTTTTGACGTTTGTTAAAATTAAAATTAGATTTATTGGTATAACGATAAAGTACTTGGTTTAATGAACATACTAAACCATTAAAGTCCTACGGAAACTGGTTCAATTATAAAAATTATTGATTGTTAAAAACTAGCTCGTTCGTTTTCAATTATGTGTAATAAATCAACTCGGAATAGTTTTAATCACTCAAAAAATAATTTATTTATCATGGATTAGGTCGATTATTTAAACATATCGGGAAATTTATGTAACTTGCCTCAAGGCAAAATACCAATACCAACTAGTTTTATTTATTTTAACTAATGTAAATTGAGTTAAAATAAAATGTCTAAAGCATAGATAAATAAGCATAAATGGTCTAAAGCTCGAAGACTTAGATAGCGCCACTGTCGTATCAATTGACAGTTACCAACTTGCGTGCTTCCTATTACATTCTACAGAATCCATATTTAAATATCTATGTTTTCTTGCATCCATCGCTCCTGATTACTATGACATTTTGACCAATGATTAGATATTGTTTTTTGCATGTATTTTGTTTTTCAGTCGTCGTAAATTTTGAGTTCGAAAAATAGACAAAATTATCGGTTGTGTTCTTTGCAACTTTCAAGATTTACTTCAAAATCTTGAAAGTTAATTGAAATATTAATTAACATTAACTTATGCACTGGGAAACATACGGTATAATTGTTTAATTGACAAGTTGCACAATTAAAAAATTTCGATGGAGCCGCTGGAACCGTCTCTGAAAAATGTAATAGATCAACAAACGTTGAAGTGGATTTTTGTAGGAGGTAAAGGCGGTGTTGGTAAAACGACTTGCAGGTATGTCAATACTATTTTCTCATTTCTTTATCATTTTTAATACTTATTACAACAAGTGGCACTTTCTAGCTGAAGTATGAATAAGTCAAAGTCTAGTCAGTATGAATAAGGCAAATAATCTGATTCACAATAATGATTCCAATTTAATTTCAAAATTATTGCCATTCAACAAAACAATCGCAAGATTACTTTGTTCCGACATAATTTTGGCTCTGCTTATGAACATAATAATTTTCAAAAGATTACACGTTATTAGTCCAGTCATTATACTAAGTTTCCCTATGAATTCGAGATACCCAGCTATAAGTCTGTAAATACTTGTATATTGACACCCTAAAGTTATCTCAAAACCTATATATGGTATTGAAACCTTACCATATCTTTTGAGACAACTTTAGGGTGTCAATATACAAGTATTTACAGATTCTTACCTAAATTAAGCTTAAATGACTGGACTATATGCACTAAAGTTTGTTTGTTTATAAAATACCTTTGGTATTCGGTAATAAGAGAAACCTTGTAGAAACTATTCTATTGAATGTGAATAATAGCCTATCATATTTCTATTCAAGTACACAATTATTAATGATTGCTTTCTTACTAAATCAAGGTTTGTATTATATTTATGATAACATATAATAATACTTTTTGACAAATAATTAATATCGACATCCATTTAAGATCAATAACTTAATCTTAATATCAATAATTTACATCCTGATATATAAAAACAACACGTACACATATACACACAGATTTTAAGTCAAGTGTTTTCTTCTTCAAAAAAAAAACATTTGTTCAATAATCAGTTACCAATAGCCATCCCTTAACATCGAGAGAATAATACTTTTTATCTCCCATAACAAACTCAAAAAAGACATAATTTAAAGGAATTTTGAATTGCAAAATTTGTTTCTTCGTCTGAAAAGAAATCTATAAAATCACTTTTTTCGATAAAATCTTTTTTAGTGAAAAAGTGTTAGTGTATAATCAATCATACAGGTGATTATGTTTTTTCAGTAACTTTTTCTTAAAACTTTCAATATCTTGTTATACAATCCGCTTATTTATTTTTATCATTTTTATTTTGATTATATTGTCATATTTCTGTACGTTATTTTTTCCACAATTTTATTCATTTTATATAAAAAAAAATCGACCATCTTCTGCTTTTCTTAAACATATTGTTTGCTTAAATCTTATCAAAAGATCATATTTCTTGACAGATGTCCTGAAGATGGTACGTACCTAATTCCGAAACGTGGACAGTAAATAAATAAAGAAATGTTTTTTTAAAAAACTTTTGTTTTTTTTTACTTTTTAGATTCTATGTTCGAAGCTCTACAAAATATACGAAATATTATATATATAATATATATATATATATATATATATATATATATATATATATATAAATCTGTAATTAATATTTGTTTGTATTGACAATCTAATAATAAGACATAGCATCACTAAAATCATGATTTTCTTTGAAAATGTATTCCGGAGATCAAACGGATCCATATGCTATAACTTTGTTTCAGTAAAAAAATTAAATTTAAAAACTAAAATATGTGACAAATGTTTAAAAAATTGCAAGTAAAAAGTATTTACGATATGTTTATCCTAATATTAAAAACAGAGAAATGGATTTTGGAATAAATTTTTAAATTATTTCTTGTTTTATTGAAGTAGTAATTTAAAAAATCTTATATATATATATATATATATATATATATATATACATTTGGGATACTGGATTAAAAATGAATAACATTGTTTTTCCTTTCTATTAAGTTCTAAGTAGATCTCGTAGACTTTTATATTCATTTTATTTATTGGTATGTTCATATCGAGGAAATTCATAATCATCCACATTAAGTTGTGGTAGTTATTTCAAAGCATATTGTCATTGCATCAATTCTATTTATATTTTTACATCAAGTACCAAACCATTATTTTAGATGATGTTTAGATACTTGCTCATATCACCGTCTTTCTTTTTCTTTATTTACTAAGAGTGATATATAATAATGAACTTCATTTATTCAGTTGTAGTTTAGCAGTGCAACTCACGAAAGTTCGAGAGTCCGTACTTATCTTGTCAACAGATCCAGCTCATAATATTTCTGATGCGTTCGGACAGAAGTTTTCGAAAGTTCCAACAAAGGTTAAGGGATTTGATAACCTCTTTGCGATGGAAATTGATCCAAATGTTGGTATAAATGAGCTGCCAGATGAGTACTTTGAATCAGATAATAATGAGGCCTTGCGACTGAGTAAGAATATCATGCAAGAGATCGTAGGAGCTTTTCCAGGAATTGATGAGGCAATGAGCTATGCAGAAGTTATGAAGTATGTTATAATAATATTTCACAAAACATATATATAATATAATGTGTAAAATATCATTCTTTTTCTTGGCACTTGTATTGCATTAAAGCTTTACATAAAAAGAAGAGCGCGTGTAACGTTCACACGCGATTGAAGTAAAACTTATTTGCTACTGTACAAAGTAGCAAATGTAAGTTAAGTAAAAATAAATACATCATATAACAATTTTGAATAATATTTATTAGTAATATGATAACACTCATGATGCACACATATTAGTGTACCATAATGCACATTTATATAATGATAAATTAGAAATGCTGATTAATATATTCTTTAATATTCGTTTACACAGTGGATTATGTTAAACAACGCCTAAACAAATATTGTTTTTGCAACTTAATTTACTCATCATATAATTGTGTTTGAAGAACTTCATGTAATTAAAATTAACATACATTCATTGACTGCTTGTATTTTTTTTACTTTTTCGCTAATGATATAATCTCATTCTTTGAACAGCTGTAATATCTGTCTTGCCTATAAAATATTTTCCATTTTAATATCTTCAAAGATTTATAGGAACTACGAATAATATAGAAATACGGCACAAATGTTTAATTTGTTTTATTATTTTCAAGGAACAGGGTAAAATATTCTTCTGATTCAGGCATTTTTCAATAAATCAAGATTTGTACTACGATGTAACTTTCACATGTTTATCTATGCTGATTTCCTTATTGATATCGAAACGCATACAACGACAGATCTCTATTCACATACACAACGACTAATCACAATCGACCCGTATAGAAATGATTTCATCGAAAGCGAATGACGCACAGTTCTGCCGTTGCATTTCCGTTGCATTTGTACGGATTTACACCCTAGTCGCGTCTAAAGAAGTTTTACTTTGATAATTAGCCTTTTGATATGGTTTTTACTTGTAGATTGGTGAGAGGAATGAATTTCTCGGTGGTTGTGTTTGATACAGCTCCTACTGGGCACACATTGCGTCTTTTATCATTCCCTCAAGGCATAGAGCGTGGTTTAGGCAAACTTATGCGATTGAAATCCAAAGTGTCACCATTTTTGTCACAGATTAGCTCTATATTTGGGATGAACGAGTTCAATTCAGATACGATAACTGAAAAACTAGAGGAAATGTTGAACATTATCCGACATGTTAATGACCAATTTAGAAATCCAGTAAGTTTTACAAATAAATTATAATTAATTTAATTTTTGTTATTAATTATTTTCAATACTTCAGGACCAAACTACTTTTGTTTGTGTATGCATAGCTGAATTTCTATCACTATATGAGACTGAAAGGTTAGTGCAAGAGTTAACAAAGTCGGGAATAGATACGCATAATATAATTGTAAATCAGCTATTGTTCAAAACTGCAGAGGACACTTGCAGAATGTGCAGTTCCCGGTTCAAGGTATACGGATTGTTTAGCAGAAAAATATTAGATTTGATAATTTAAAAATGGTCAATTATGTATTGGCATCTCAGTTTTTACACTGTAGGGTCACCTTTTTTTATCATGAATGATTCTGTGATTAAATAGCACAGGTCCTCAAAATAAAAAAAAGTTTTTATTGCTTTGATAATGCTTTTATGGGTCAAGCTAATAAGATAGGTTTGTCATAGGTGTGCGCTTCTGGGATTCTTACGAAACTTTGCATAGAGTTGTTATTCTAAAGAAACACCTCCAATTATTATAGACCTATGAAAAATAGTTTATTTATAAAAATTAGGATTTTGAAAAATAGGCTGCTTGTAATATGTATGTATAGGTAGCTCGGTCTGCGGTATGGTAACAAAATTTGGCATTCATCGCCTTATATGGACATATATTGTATGTTCGGGTTCAGAAATCTGTAAATACATATTGTTTGGATTGGATATTAACAATTTTATTTTAAATGCTGCTATTTTTTAGTATAAACTTCACTTTCATCACACATTTCAGAATGCGTATTCACCAAACAGTCAAAAATATTTTTGCATTGCTTTCTGACAACCCACAAACTATTCTTATCATTAATTTATTTTGAATACATTTTCTCTTGTAATTAATTCCGTACTAACTACTTAATTAACTTCCCGTAGGGTAGTTATAGTAATGAGCCGAAAATCGAAAATGAAAATTTTTAGATATCTCCTCACTTTTTGAAGGTTTCTGAACATTTTGGCAAACTTCAAAAAAATGGATGTGTGTGTGTGTGTTTTGAATGTCCGCATTTTTTCGGGCGCAAGGATCAACCGATTTGAATGGTTCAAAACACATTTGATTCCTATTGATAAGAAGATACGCTGATTAGTTTTTGGCAAAGGCAGGTCCAGCCGTTACGGAGATGCGGAGCAAAGAGTGCAGAAAATACAAATCGAGTTTTTGAGAGAATGGAGTATCCGATTGGAATGATCTAAAAACATTCAATTTGTAATGATTGGGAGAAGAGGTGATTAGTTTTTAGCAAAGGCAGGTCCAGCCATTTTGAAGATACACAGCAAAATGTGTAAAAAATGGCAGTTTTTGAGAGAACTAAGCGTCCGATCTGAATGTTTCAAAAAACTTTCTGCTTGTTTTAACAAAATAATTACTTTTAGAAAAAATATTTTTGTTTAATTTTTTTTTTTCAAAAAAAATTTTTTTGTACATCAAAAATAATTCACATTTTAATTTTAACTCTGATTAAAGTTATAATATACTTTAAACAAATAATTTCAACTTTGCAATTCAGTTTATATAATTCTTATAAATAGACAATGTTATAGTATTTATAATAATCTATTTGAAAACATTAAATAATACTCGAATATTTCGTTACGGAACGTACGGGAAGTTCCAGCAATTTGTCTTAAGGCACGATGCCATACTCTACTAGTTTGGTAATAATTTTGTATTTTTACAATGTCTACATTTCTACACAATTCCAAAGGGACGAGATCGAGACGCAATTAAAATGAAAAGTTATCTATTATTTAAAGCTCTATTTATTTGAAGCACTTTATTTCAGTATGATTTGTAAATTAATTCATTTTATTGGTAATAAACAATGCAAATAATAATATAATATTATGTGTTTCCAGGTTTGTTTCACATATCAATTATTGTTCGTAAATTATTAATGTATTAATAATTACAATATTTTTGCTATTCAAATGCTGTTAATTTAGAAAAAAATTAAAAGTCCATTGACTAATCGATTGAGCTATCTAGAGTCTAGGTGCTAAACTAATTAGAACTAAGCACTCCAGGTGTGCAGTGTTTTCTATACTTTCAATTTGTAATGTTACAGCTTTTTTATTTAATAACACAGATTCACAAAAAAAGTTGTCTGTATTGGGTGTGTGAACATTGCTGCTAGATTTTGCAAAAAGAAACTGAATAGAGATGAAAAATCATTGCAGAATTTTGTTGCACATGTCATCTAAAGTGAAAAAGTCCAGGCCATGGAGATTTTGTTGTTTTTTTTTTTTGTAATTCTTTACCATTTATTGCAGTTCGATTTCCAATTTTGTTTTTATATTTGGTTCAGCAGTAAAAATACATTTGAAAACATATGTCAATCACCCAATACAGAAAACTTTTTTTTTTGTGAACTTGTAAAATTAATTTATTTCGACCATCAACCTATGACCATGCAAAGTTTCATTGATATCCCAGAGGAATAAACCTGAGGTTTTCTACTTTGTAAATGTGACTTTCAGTAAATTTATTAGAACTAAAAAAAAAATCATGGCTTTGTTTTTAAGTTTTCTTGTCTTTATGAAATCATTGTCAACCTGTACTGCCACAGTAAGATGTTGTACATAGGGATCATTAAGTTCTATTTGATTTTAAGTTGTTTGTATTTTGACAGCTTCAAGAAAAATACCTAGACCAAATAGCCGACTTGTATGAAGATTTGCATGTTACAAAACTTCCACTTCTTGACAATGAGGTAAGAGGCGTGGAGGAGGTACGAACATTCTCTGAACATCTAGTACACCCATACAAACCTGGAGTATAATGTATTGGACGAGTTTTACGCAATAAAATGTATAACCAAATTGTAAATAAGTTTATTTATATACATTAAAATAAAAAGTTTTATTAATATAACCTAATCTGTTATTGTCTCTGATATTGTGATTCAATTTTATTGTCCGAGAAAACTTACATACATAATTTTAATACATTTGCAAATAAAAATGTATGCTTGGATTAAAAGATAATTACTTTTATATCTTGGTTCAATAAAGATTTTTTGTAAATAAGTTTCCCTTAGGGTGAGTTATAGTAACCACAAAAAAAAAACAAAATTAAAATTTTTGGAGTACCTTACATATCAAGGTCATACCTTTCAGGTATGCAAAATATATAATACACCATATTGTAGGATATTAATGAATGTTTAACTTTAGTTGATTTTTAGAAAAAGTAAGAATGTGATATATAATTGTTCTAATCTATTGATTAGACTTGTAAGGTTATTATAGAACATAATTCTACAGATTTGTAGAATTTCAGTTATAGAATTAATCAGTATTTTGCTGAACAACTAATATCTCCCTAATGTGTAATTTTAAGTATTCAAAATTATTAATCAGCAGATTAATACGTTCCATCATAAATTACTTTTGAAGTCTTCTAAAGTTTTTGGTGTGTATTTATATGGCGGCATTGTTCTTTGAAAAACTAAAAAAAATGATTCAATATTATATATATTGTTTATTTGTATCTGTTGTAGTATATATATTCACAAATATTATAATTTAGTCAATATAGTATTAAAAAGCTACTCCATTGAAAGTAACATCGGTAACATTTTATTCGAGTCTTTGAAACTATTATTAACCCTCTAACCCGAGTTTTTGATAGAGCCAGTAAAAAAAGTCAGAACAATTTTTTCTAGACTAATTTGACCATAACAAACACTTCTGCATCATTAGATTTTCATTTTGACTTACCGTTTAGCTACCAGGTACAAAAAGGTGAAGATTACTTCAAAGTAATCTTGACGGGTTTAGTGAAAAATTTGATACAGGTAGATATTTTTATTCTGTATGGTATTGAATGAAAGAACAATGGAATGTAGTGGAAATTAATTATTTTTTGTTATGATATTCTACGAAACAATTTTTACCCTTAAAGCAACATAAAGCTATATTACATTTGGAGCAAATGCACATAGTTAGCGCCTTTGTTTTGTTTTGGGCACAGCGTTTGCTCGTAACACGTTTTTCTGTCCATTGTGGCCAATGATCCATACAATCAAAACGAGTGTCGTCCACTGGATGCACCGCACGTCTTCCAACAGGAAAAGAACCTGGAATCACCTCTGGAGTTGATGGCCGAGAATCGCTTGAAGCAAGTCTGGATGATGGACGACCAGCTTGGCGCTTGAAGTTGTAGTTCACAAGGCCAGCAGCAATATTTTTACGAAATTGTGGCAATGTCAACAATTTTTCGCTGGGGTCATTCTCATCAGGCGAATCGTGAACTTTCTCTCGGTGTATTCGGCGATAGAGTATGTATGCGTTGGTGGCAGCCATGTCAATAAAATGGTACAACAAACGAGTTGCTGCATCACGAGTTTTTGCGCGAATATGATAGCGGCCCATCAAGCCATCCATCAAGTCCACGCCGCCCATATGTTTGTTATATTCGCTAATGATTTCGGGGCAATCGATGTCAATGCGGCCTTGCTTGCGAACAAATCGGCTGGCTTTTCGTGGTTGTTTGGTTGGATTTGTCAAACTGGTTTGAAATGGTTTCACACCAACATACGTCGATGCCAAATGAACGACTTTGTTGTCTTTCCACAATACAGTAGTCAGATCAACGCCATATGAGGATGCCACATATTCCTCAGAATATCCTCTTGGTTTATCTTTGATGGCTGTTTCCAAACTCAGCTTACAACCAGGCACTCTGTTCACTCGTATCGTACCAAGACTGAAAATTCCACGAGCGCGCAAATACACCAACAGAGGCAAACTTGTATAAAAGTTGTCGAAGTATACAATGTGATTTGCCATATCCAGGATGGTTTGAGACAATCGCATGACAACATTCGCCGAAGCACCAAGATTTGGATGGCCATCTACAAGTTTGTTGCCTCCAGCGCCATTGTAAACTTCGAACCGATAAGCAAATCCAGATGAGTCACATAGAACGAATAATTTCATGCCCCATTTGTGTGGCTTATTGGGCATATACTGCCGCAAATGGTGCACCATCTTATTGCATTAAAAAAAATCGACCCCAACACGTTTTTCATGTAACAAAAGAGAAATAAACAAGAAAAGGTGCGATAAACGGTAAAAACGCGTTGGGGGAAAAAAATCACTGAATCCGGCAAGATTACTTTAAAGTAACCTCTGTTTTTTCCTTCAAAATACCGAAAAAAAAAATTTTTCACAATAAAATATATAATAATTGAAAGGGGGATTACTTACCAACAAAATAAAAAAATTCCGATGTCGAAATAATGATTGGTTCAAGAAATATGTGGCACAAAAAACACAATTTTTTTTTTCACTAAATTTGATGCTTCCTTCTCGAAAGCTCACACTATTATGACTATAGAAGCCAAACTATACTTCAAATGATGTTGGTGTCTGAAGAAGAAATGTCAAATAAAGTACGAGGGACAAGTTCATGCTTATTTGCATGTGATTATGTTGTCACACGGTTATAAAAAAAGCAAAACATGAAGATTACTTCAAAGTAATCTTCCGGGTTAGAGGGTTAATTTAATAACTTTAGTTTCATGTATTTGTTCTATAAATATACAGGTAGTCCGCCTATAACGCTAAATTTTTTTAAATATTGGGGTGTTATATGGAGATACCGTGTAATACAGGTTTCACCCGTATTTCTATAAAATATTGTGATATTTATGTATCATGATTTATCATAGATGAAAGCATAGAAACAATTATTTTTTCCTTGCTAAGATATGCTAGGTATATTAGAATAAAGAAAATAAGTAGAAAAAAGCTCGTATAATTTATTACCAATGGGTATAGTTATTTCAAACTCTGTTATATGAGTTAAAAATTCAATAAAACATACCGTAATTCTGTGTCATTACCAATAGTATACGCATTACGCAACTATAAACAAGATGAAAAAGGGTAAATTAGTTGTAAGTAAGTGACATTTTACCTCGAGTCAAGTTTAATGAACTTTTCGATATATGTAAATATTCTATTTAATCAACCATAATTTGATGTATAGGTACCTGCTATCTGTCCACCTGTTTTTGAATCTACTTTTCTACATGTATAACGGTTTATCTGTCTACCTGGTCTACTCGTACACCATTCTATAAGGTTGTTCAGAAACCTTACCACCTTTTACCACCAGAATTTAACTATATTTTTTTGAACCTAAGATCACACTTAAGCCCTTTAATTATTATATGATTTGAAAACTTATATTTTAAGGTTTGTGTGTAAAAAATTCTAATCTATTACATGCAGTAGTTTTTGAATTGTGCCACTTTTAATACGGAAAGAATTAAGCAGCATTTTCGACATATTTTACTATAGAAAAGGTAAAAAACTGTTTTAGTCAAAATGAAATTGATCGATGTGTAACGAAATGAAGTGTTGATAGTACGACAGCGTCAAAATTGGTTTGTTAAATTTTATTCCTGGTATTTTGATATGCAAGATGCATCAAGTCCAAGAAGTACTGTTGAAGCTAATAAAGACGCGAGAAAGCATTACTTGGTGCAAACCGACGAATAATAATACATGTGATCCCATTGAGTAAAAATTAAAAAAGTTGAAATTTATCAAATTTAATAGTTCATGACCACACAAAAGGTCTGGGATTTTCCCCGAAACTCAATGTATAGTTCTCATAGAAAGAAACGTGTGTCGTCGCACTGGCGTCCGCGATTCGCCTTTGAATAGTCTTGAAAATTATCAGGTTTTGAAGCGAATTGTCACTAGGAATTTCAAATGGGATGTGAGGAATACAATACACACATTTGGCCATGAAACAAAAAAAAAGAACCTGCTCAAAACAGGTGCAAACCTGAAATTTGCCAGAAAAAGTGATGCAGCATGTTTGGTAGATTTTAAAGAAGTTGTTCATTTTTCAACTTTTTCAGGATAACATAAGGGTTAATTCGGATGCCTTATGCCATCAGCTGGATAAACTAAATGATATACTTTAATAGAAGCAGTCAGAATTAATCCACCACAAGGTATAGTCATGCATCAAGACGACGCAAGACTTCACATATGTTTGGTCCATCGCCAAAAGCGTTAGAAGCTTGAATAGGACCCAATGACATGATCATCATAATATTCTCCAGACCTGCCTTCATCTGACCATTATTTGTTCCGGCCACTAAAAATTTTTTTAGACGGTTAAATCTTTACTTACCTCAAATCAGCCTGTCAAAAAGCTCTTTGATCAGTTTTTTTGCTAATAACGACCAAAACATTTATGATCTCGGAATTATGCTAATACCAGAAATACGACAAAAAATGTTTGAACAAAACTGCCAATACATAATTTATTAAAGTAATTGTTTATTGTACGAAAATTACGTTCAAAAATGTGTATAAAAAACGAAGTTACTTTCCAACACCCCAATACATGCATATCTGTCTATTTGTCTATCTGTCTGTCTCTCTATTTTTGCATTTGTCTACTTGTCTTTTTACTTTTCTACCAGTCACTTGCGTATTCTTCCACCTGCATATTTGTTTAATGTGTGTATTTTTTTTATCTGTCTACTTGTTTGCCTATCTGCAGAGCTACAAAAATGTACATGTTTCCTTGCTTACCTGTCTATTTGTCTACATGTCTACCCGTTCACGCGTCTATCTGTCTGTCTACCTGCCTACCAGTCCATATGCTTGCAAATAATTCTAGTTGCGTATGAATGAATAATTTATAATGATCAATTTTAATAATCGCCGGACTGCCTTCGAAAAAATTTAATCAATTTTTCAGTCCGTCGATACAAATAAAATGTTTTTTTAAGTCATTCTAATCGGATGCTTCGTCGTTTTCATGAAAACTGAATTGCCATTTTTGGCTCTTTATGCTAGGTGTATCAGATATATATCTAATAGTAATAAAAGTATGTTGCAACTATGCTCAAAAAAGGCGATGCCACGATTTTCACTTGAAATTATATTTGAGATTTATAACCTCAAGGAGAATTTTTTTTATTATGCTGCCTGACGGTGTTTGAGATCGAAGCGAGCTTAATATAATATTATGCAATTAACAAATATTATTTATAGACCATATTATTTTTCTCAAATTTACTTAATATTTATTTACATCGACGTTCTAAAATCAACAAGAAACATAACAGGTAAATATAATCACGAATGAGGTATCAACTATAAATAGCACAGTCGGTTAATGGTTTTATCGCACTTCTATGCAGAATTCACTGCAATATTTGAGTTTTATTAGAAGTAAGTCATCTAGTTTCCGGGTTGTTAAATTGAGTTACAGTGTGACATCATTTCTCGACGCAAAGTATTTGAAATTGCCGGCCGTGGCTTTGCATGTGTGCGAGATCATAGTTTATCTTTGCACACATGCAAATTCCGATGAAACAAAGTGTAAAGTTGTAGTAATGAAACAAGAATCAGTCATTCCTCATTAATTACAACGGAGCATGAAACAAACAGCGACGGAGGTCGTAAAGGTCTTCGGAAGGAGAGAGGTCTATGATGATATTGTTTCGATTTTTAAAAAAATACTGTGTACAGGTACCAGTATACTACTTTTATGCATTAAAAGTACTTGTATGTACGCACAAAAATGTAGACCAATTCTTTTACTGAGTTTTTAACTTCCGTAGGGCAAGTTATAGTAATCGCAAAAAAATCGAAAATGAAAAATTTTATATATCTTTACGTTTCAAAACCTTCTGAATATTTTGGCATACCTTAGAAAAAATGGATGTATGTGTGTGTGTGCGTGTATGTGTGTGTGTGCAGATACAAATTTTCGTCGACGATTTCGAAAACACGGATGAAGCGATTTGAATAATTAAAAAAACATTCGATTTGTATTAATAAGGAAACGTGCTGATTAGTTTTTAGCGAAGGCAGGTCTAATCGTTCCAAAGATATGGGGCAAAAAGTGCCAAAAACGATAACTCAGTTTTTAAGAGAACGGAACGTCCGATTTGAATCCAAAATACATTTTACTTGTATTAACAGGATAAAGGACTGATCAAATCTTTATGAAGGCAGGTTTACCGTTTTCGGAGATTCGGTAAAAAAGTAAAAAAAAAAAATGCCATTTGGCGGTCAGCATGAGTTCCCTAACGAATGCAGAGTGGATAGCGCGGCTAGCGTTCAAAAATATTTAATATCTTTGGATCTAACTGCGCCCCCAATATTATATAAAGTGATTTTGTAGTAGAGAGTAAAAGAAAAATTATGTTGTTTATTTCAATCGATTCGAGTTGGGGAAAGGGTATGTGAATCCTATGTTAACAATAGACTGCTTTTATTGTTAAAAAATTGCAAAAACATTTTTTTTTCAATTAACTGAAAGTTGAATTCAAAATGAGTACAATAAAAAAATCATACTGATCTGTTCACCACAACTGGAAATATTAAGATTAATGCAGAGGAAGACCATCAAAATTGAGCAAATTATTCAAATTTCAATCGTAAATATTTTCTTTAAAAAAATTTTTAAAGCAAAATCCTGAAATACGTGTCAAATGATTTTATGACTAGTATCTGTAAACAAATTTTCAGACAATTCTAAAATGTCAAGGTTAATTGGTGTTCGGTTTGTAAAAGAATGACACACATACACACACACACACACATGCATCCATTTTTCCTAAAGTATGCCAAAATATTCAGAAACCTTTGAAACGTAAAGATATATATAAAAATTTTCATTTTCGATTTTTTTGCGATTACTATAACTTGCCCTACGGGAAGTTAAAAATAAAATTTAAAAACTAAATAATTGAGATTGAAAAACTATAGAGTAAGAAAAGTACTTACAACGTGCTAATCCTAGTCTTACATATAGAAAATTTGATCATTTAAGGATATGGTAAAGCACTACACTATGTAATATAAACATTAAACTTCTGCCTTTGAGCGGACAACCATTTATTATAACAATATTACACAATTATGTTAGCATTAAACTATTACAAACGAATAAGTGTGCAATTAGTGATGTGCTGACTCGAGAAATTTCCGATTCGAATGATTCGAAT